AAACAATACTACAAGTTAAGTGGAGCTCAATATGCAACGAGTTGCATATTGTCAAAACACCACAAGAAATTATTTAGTTGATCTTGTTTAAGCTACCAAACAATATTAAATTTTGTTAAACATGGCAAGAGTTGAAACATAATTGAACTAACTATTTAGGCAAGTTTAAATGAGGCCGGAACAACAAACAACAATTCCGGAAAATCCCCAGATGCAAATTATGAATTTGGTACTGTTCTGCCCTAAACCATATTTTAGAGTTGTTAAACATGCAAAGTAAAATCACCAGGATAATCTATGCATTTTTCCACCCCATTTACATATAAAGTTTATTTAAATCGGAGCTACGGTTATTTAGTTATGAAATAAATCATTTTAGCATGTCATTATGCAAAACAAATGCAAACAACATTTTAAACATATTTAACATGGATGAAAGTGTCAAATTATTAATCTACACAAAATTCTAAGCATTTTACATATATAAATTATTTTAATCCGATGCACGGTTGTGGAGTTATTAAATGCATGAACATGAGGGTGCAATCTGTAAAAATGCAGTTTACTGGATAAATAGATAAATTCGCTGAACAGGAAAAAAACATGACATGGGCCGAATCTGGCAGGGACAATAGTGCACAGGAGAGGAGCTGGAGGGGGGCTGCTCACATTGGGCCTGATGTGGGCTGTGGCCTAAGCGACAACTGCAGAGGCCTTTGCGGGCGAAGGGAGCTGGGCCTGCGCGTGGAGTGGACGCGGTCAACGGGGCTGGGTCGAGCGCTCGTTGTCCTCCTGCTCGAAGCAGAGGATGCAGGGGGCGATGGCCACGGCCGGACTCGAGCGGCAGCGGCTGCAGGGAAGGCCGACGAGGTGGAGATGGGGCGGATCCGGCCGGTCGGCGCCGGATCCGGCCAACGACGGCGCGGACGGAGCTCGGGGCGGCCATGGCGTTTTCCTGCGGACGAGGGAAGAGGGAGTGAGCAATAGCGACTCGAGAGGGAGAAGGAAGAAAGAGACCAGGGAAGCGGAGAGCAAGGAGACGGCCTGTAAGGAGGCGGTCGCCGGCGGCGGCACGGCGAGGCACCAGTGGCGGGGACGGCCGGACCTTGTGGGTCTGAGCGGCAGGATCGAGCAGCGGTCAATGGAGCGAGCGGCTGCGCTCTGCTCGCTCTTGAGCAACGCAGGGGAAGAAGCGGCTGCGGGACTCGGCACGGCAATGTGGATCCAGCGGGGAACGGCGATGGACGACAAGCTCAAGGCTGCGGGCGCCATGTCGCCGAAGTTCGTGGTGGT